GCCGCCCGGGTTTCTGCAGACTCTGTGATCCAGCCAGGCTCCTGGTGTCCCATGGTCTCCTATGGGGTTTCCATGGGGTGGGCAGCAGACATGTGTCTTGTCTTCTGCCCCTGATCCCCACTTAGGGTGGCCACCCCTTAGGGTGGCAGTAGCCCCCCAAGCCTGCCCAGCTGCCATCCCCAGCATCCCCACAGCACTATAGTCTTCCCTGGGAGATGCTTTCCCTGGCGAGGAAAGGGCTGCTCAGGAGATGCACTGTCTCACCTGCAGGTTTGTCTTCATTCTGCTCGGTCCCCAAGCCAAAGTGAAAGCCTACCGTGAGGTTGGCAGGGCCATGGCCACGCTGCTGACAGACGAGGTGAGCCTGGTGCAGCACCCATGGGTGGGATGGGCCTGGGATGAAGCCTAGGCTGAGGACACCAGGGCTCCTCTCCTCTGCAGGCTATAGCAGGTGAGGCAGAGGATGGGGCAAGCTGGTGGCCTGCCTTGCCCAGGACAAGAGAACAAAGGTTTGGGGTGGGTCTGTAGGACGTAGGTGCACCCGTTGCACTGAAGGGAATGGGTGCCTTTCTCAGTGATGGCTGCAGGCTGGGAGGAAGGCTCTGAGTGGCTGAATGAATGCAGGGATGTGGTGGCTAAACCATGTTGTGTCCCTGCAGCTCTTCCAAAGGGTTGCCCGGCGGGCTGAGCACCGAGAGGACCTCATTGCAGGGATGGAGGCGTTCCTGGATGAGCTGACTGTTCTTCCTCCTGGGAAGTGGGACCCCAATGCCCAAATTCCTCCACCAAGCTGCCTGCCATCTCCGCACAGGAGGTAGGCTGGAGGGAGGGTCCTGGGTGGAGACCTCTGCCTGTGACAACAAAATCTCCATCTCCGTGGGGATGAAGACACCCAGGAGCAAACCTTTGCTATTGAGGTCCTCCCAGCCAAGCCCCTCTGCAGCTCCAGCTGATGACCACAGCTCTGGTCACCACTGCTGTTAGTCCTGCTGTCCCACTTGGCAGTGGACGGCAAAAACGCAATGTGTGCCCTTCAGGGAATGCTGGGGTTCAGCACTTGGATATGAAACATCCTCTGAGCAGGACACCTTCAGCTATACCCAGCTCCTCCACCAAAACCGGTCCTGCTAGGTCTGTCTCCAGGGCTTGCTGGAGGGGATCATGGTTGGGTTAGAAGGGACATTGGAAGACTGTCTAGTCCAAGCTCCCCATCTATCCTCCTCCTCCTGGTCTTTCTCCTCCTCCTCATTATTGGGGGATACATGAGGTCCCACCAGACCTGCTTGCATCCCTGTCTTCTCTCCATCCTCCCTGCCCCCTCATAGCATCCCCTAGATGCATCTGGGTCCTGAGGGCTCCAACCTGAAGCCTGTTGTCTCAGGCTCTGGTCTGCCACAGGACTGCCGTGCACCTGCCAGATCAGCACTCCCACGGCAATGGGGACATGGCAGCAGCTGGAGACCAAGCCGGCCCGGAGCACACACGTTCCAGGGAGGAGCTGGAGAGGACAGGCAGGTGGGTGCCTGGAAGGACAAGGGTGCTGGGAGGTGCAGCAAGGATGCTGAATTTAGGGCAGGGCGCTGACTCTCCCCAGCACCTGGGGCCACCACGTCCAAACCACTCTGGGCTGGTGTCTCCCCGGGAAGGGACCGTCCCCTGCCTTGCAGCTCTCTCAGGGGGTGATGGCCAGCTGAGGGGGCTGCTCTGAGACTTCCCTCTGCTGCCCCAGGCTTTTCGGGGGGCTGCTGCAAGACATCCGGAGGAAGGCGCTGTGGTACGGCAGTGACTTCTCTGATGCCCTCCACCCCCAGTGCCTCTCGGCAGTGCTCTACATCTACCTGGCGACAGTCACCAATGCCATCACCTTTGGGGGCATGCTGGGGGACGCGACTGCCAACATTCAGGTAGGTGCGGCCGTGGGGTGCCCCACACCAACCCCACTCGGCCCAGCCCACAGGGCTCCCGGTGCCCACCTCCCACCGGTGCCCAGGGAGCCAGTGGTGCCCCTGGGGGATCCTGAGCACAACCCAAATCCTGCATCCTTCCCTGGCCTCTGTAGTGCCCCAGCGCTGACCCTGCACCCTGCAGTGCAGGGAGGTGCAGGCAGCTGCCTGCAGCTGCGCTGCTGCAGGGGACAGGCCTGGGACCCTCACCTCTGCGACATACCTGGCACCTGGCACCCCTCCCCTGCATTTCAGGGGGTGTTGGAGAGCTTCCTGGGCACGGCCTTTGCTGGCTCCATCTTCTGCCTCTTTTCTGGCCAGCCGCTGACCATCCTGAGCAGCACTGGCCCCGTGCTGGTCTTTGAGCGCCTCCTCTTCTCCTTCAGCCAGTAAGTACCCTGCCAGGGATGGTTCCTCAGGCCACTGTCCCCTGGTTGGGGCATGGGCCATTGTCTTGTCAGCCAGGGGTTGTTGTTGAGTCTTTGGGTCACCCTTTCCACCAGGGACCACAGCCTAGACTACCTGGAGTTTCGCCTCTGGATTGGGCTCTGGGTGGCCTTTTTTGGCATTGTCTTGGTGGCCACAGAGGCCAGCCACCTAGTGAGGTACTTCACCCGCTTCACCGAGGAAGGCTTCTGTGCCCTCATCAGCTTGATATTCATCTACGACTCCCTGAAGAAGATGCTGAGTCTGGCAGACACCTTCCCCATCAACTGGCAGTACCGGCTGGACGACATCACCTCCTACAGCTGTGTCTGCAACTTGTCCAGTCCCGGTGAGCCCAAGCACCCGTGGGGCTGGCAGGGGGCAGGGGTCTGCCCCTTTGTGACTCCAGCTGGACCCTGCCTGGCTAGACAGGAGAAGGTGCTGGAGGAGGAGGAAGCTGCTCAATACCATCCTCACCTGCCCAACCACATCGGCACCTTCCTCCACTGCCCTCCATGCCACCTCTTCACCCGTCCCTGCCTTCTGGCACCATCCAGGAACTGGGCAGGGGAGCGCCAGGAGCAAGGAGACCTTTGATCTGGCTCTCATGGCTCTGGGATGGGGGATGCTAAAGGCTGGAGGTGGGCGCCTGAGTGGGTTTGCACTGCCATTTCCAGCCTGGTGTGTAAACTGGCGGGTCGTTTCTGGGGCCTGAAGACATGTCCACACCGATTCTGCAAATGGGGCCCACGCCGTGTACTGAAAGCATTGGTGTTGGGCTCAGCCGGGGACTGATGGTGCCTCTGGTGCTTCAGCCAAGCCCTTCATAGGGGCGTCCCCCCTGGGTGCTTCCTGGGCATCAGCTGGTGCTGGGGCCTCAGGGGTCTCATGGGGCCCCATCCAGCACCATGAACCCTTGGGGAGAGCCTGGAGAGCCATCCCAATGGCAGCACAGTCCCGGACATCCCTGATAGAGCGTCCCCATAGTGCTGGCACCCAGACCCCCCCCGTCCCCTTGCAGGTCACAGCTCCGCAGGGAATGAGACACTGCTCCCCTCCGCCCTGGCCGCCTGGC